ATGATTACTGTTCTATTATACAAACATAATGGTAAAGGTTTCTTTTAAATACAAAGACTGCAAATGAATACATGAAAAATTACACACATGTACAGTATTTATAATTTATAAATGCAAAGTTAAGACCTCTTTAAATTATTGCACTTGTGCATTTTACAAAGATTTTTATATGTCATACATATAAAATAATTGTTTTAAGTTTGCTAACTCATCAACTATAATAAAGTCGGATATTATTTACTTGAAATTCTTTCTCCTTCCAAAAGAGAGCCAACTAAAACTTTGGACACAGATCCATCAACTCTGCAAATTGGTCTATTAAGTGCATTGTATTTTGGACAGCTTATAACCCATCTTACACCTTGGCAGTATGGGGTCAGCAAGATCACTGCCAGCAAACTTGTGGGTACCTTAACTAGGTAGGGATATAGGATCTCTTTTGTTCCTATGGACTTGTAAAGAAAGCCACCTTTTCTTTTCAGAAAGATTCAAGATGCTGCATATCTATAAATTTTGGTAAATTTCACAGTGTTTGGGCAAGCACATTTTTTCACATGGGTCACTGGGTTGGGCCTGGTGAATAGGTCGGGGCATTGTATAGAAATACCTTCTCCAGATCAATCTGTTGAACTTTCAATGTGCACACCAAAGGCACGCATAGAGCATACATCATACAATAGATCTATGGGAAATAATACTCCTTTATGGCATTTACATTGGGTGTTGGAGAGATGGCCCAGGACTGGGTATTATTCAAGTGGCTAAAGGAAAAACAAAAGCTGCAACACCCATGGTCTAACAGTATTCCAGGTGAGCTGGAGGATCAGATGATACACTTTGCAACCTTCATTTGCAGTAGGAATAAAAACTTTCCATTTATACTTCTGCAAATACAGAGTACCTCAAAATTATCAGCTGACACTTGACATGTGTAAACTGACTTCTCTACTTGACACACTGGATTCAGATCTTAACTTGCAGGTCGGGTCCTAGGACGACACTGACCCACGCACCCCCCGCCGCCAGAGGCACACTTGGGTCTGCACAAGTTCAGTTACCAATTGCTCATACTCGCTGTAAAGCGAGGTCCAACTATGCAGGAGGCAAACGGTACTGCTGTCCACTGTGGGGTCGAGGGGGGGAAAAACTTAGCACGAGACTGAAGACAGTAATGTTTCTTCGAATTTGAAATATTGTTTCTTGAGAAACATTAATGTCTTTCTCTTCATCCCACCCCTTTAATTTAGAACCAGAACATCACTGAAACTTCTCTCCTTTTTGCTATTTTTACCATCACAGAAATGCATCTAATGCTTCAGACAACCAAAACATCCAGTACAAAAAAAAAAAGACAAAAAACAGAAAAGGTATAGTACTGCATTGGGAATCACTAATTTAAACGTAAGATTAAGTGCTTAAAGGAATGGGCAGAATGTGTATCAGGGTACATACTTGCGCAAAGGTAAAACAGAACAGCCATGCGCTGCTGCCAAGCAGGGGAGGGACAAGAACCGACAGCATACTTGGTTAATTTACATTTTACAGAGATTCTAAAGTCAGGCAATAAAAGGGATACATTAATGTGACTAAATAAATCTTTAAAGAATTAAACCCTAAATAAAATCAGTAAAGTGTAGAAAGCAAACACATGTCTGAAATAAAGGTTAGAAGTGATTTTCAAAATCTAAATCATGCATATGTACCTGAAACCCAACAAAATCATACCCACCATAACTGTGTCACAGTTCTTGGAAGTTCTTGCAAAAAAGCCTGCATCTGCACAGTTCACTGGTTGTAGTCATCAGGGTATGTGCGAATGACATCAGATAAAGGCTAGAAGTCTGACGAGGGAGAATGGTCCTATCCTTTCAATTTGATCCAATTAACCATGGACATGTCCCTTTAAATGTTTTTAATTCTAGTTAAGCAAGAAAGGCAAAATAATAAATATAGGAACAAAGAAGTAAAATTACAGTATTTAAAATAAAGGCACAGGCCAAGTCATGGTGAATAATTCAGTCCGATTAAAGCTCAAACCTTAATTTTGAGATAAAAGACCAGAAACATAATATCCAAACTAAGTCTATTAAAAAATCCAGGTAGCTAAGGATTTATGCATCTATGTGTATCATGTACAAACATATCTAGTGTGCCTGAACATACCAATAAAGCAAAGTCACTGAGATTGGCTGTAAAAAATTAAAAAAAAATCTAAAGCTATCTAAAAAGCATGCTAAGAAAGAGGAAACCTACACTGAACAAATCCAGTTTCAAAGTAGTTCTCTCTGTGTCGCTGTGAGAACAAGTCACCTCCAGTGGTACCGTATCATCTGCACCGATGCCTTCCCACTGAGGAAGGGTCCAGGATGAAGACGGCTATGCTAAGTAATTCCACTTGGTCTCTCTTCCATGACCAGTTTCTGACGAGCCCCGTAGAGATAATGAGAGCTGGGGAGTGGATCTCAATCCTGCCCCAGGAAAAGGGCCGTTTTTGAGAATTACTTTCCACATCCATTTTATTTAAGTTCTCCTAATTAACTAAATCAAAGTCAATTATTAATTTATAAGATGCTTGCGATTTTTAGAGTTTTATTCCACTGCCTAAATTCAATATTTCATGTTGTTGGCATGCATTTCCAAGAAAATTTCTAGTTAAAAAATATATTCACTGTCTCTGGGAGGATAATGGAATAACTGCCTTTGACAATAAAACTTTGTCCATTATAAATCAGCACAACCAATAAAAACTTCCACAAATCAATCATTCTACATATACTCACAGCTGGCTACCAAATTTATACCGAACAGGGAAATTTTGGCCCAATATAAAATACTGCCTTAATGAGAAACTCGTTAAAACTTTTGGTAATAAAAACCATCTGCCCTTTCAAGAAAAGATGTGGGAGAAAGATGAGAACAGAGCTCAAAAGTTTGTCTGCTAAGTATATCTGCCCCAATATAAAAATACTCCTAACTGCATTTTTTCCCAAAGCAGATTATTGACTATATATCCCTGCATCTTGGGCCCATTTTAGGTAAATGTATGATTCCTAAGTAGATCTTAAGAATATTAACAGTTCACATTAGAATACAGTCCTTCCTTTGTTCAAACTTTCCTTTGATTATGACAATATTTCAAGAGAAATCAACTAACCAATAAACCCATGTACGGTTCTTTGGAAAACTGTTCAAAGTAGAATGTCAATAATATAAGAAATCTGGCTCTATCGAAATAAGAGAATTTTCTGTAGTAATTTTAGAAAAGCAATCTTAAAAAGCAAAAATAGCCATAAGATTCCCTCCCTTCAGGACTCTTTTCTATATCAAAAAGCAAAATTCATGCATCCTTTTAAGATCCTTTTAATTAAACAATCTCCTGTGGTATTTCCTCCCAACCACCTTGCGATTCAGTGGAGTTCCATTACACGACTACTAACTCTTGGAATTGAAGTTCGATTCGGTGGGCCAGTTTCATAAATCTGAGTGCAGAAAAACATGCAACATTTTAGAATTCAGTTCTATAAATGCACTAACATGAAAAAGGACATTTTCTGCTCACATTTTCCAACACACAAAAAAGCAGGTTTTGAAGAATGAGGCCGATTTTTACTTCCTATAGATGTGTTTGCGTCTCTATCCCTTATACATATGCACTTTTGTACCATGTATGTCTAGCCACAGTGGTATTTCTCTCTTTAGATATTTCATTTTACCTCATATCGTCTAATTACAATAGCAAATGGAGTGCCAGGGAGGGAAGATGGCAACTTTCAGAAGCCCACAGGGAAATAAGAACAATGTTTCTATATAGCTAACTCTGCTACAACTTAAATCATGTTGTAGGAACATCTGATTTCTTTCTGCAAAAAACCATATGAATAACAATGTGTACAAGTATTGAATATGTAAAAGAATATTTTAAAAAGTTATTTTATCAAAAGTAATAATCCAGTTTCCTGCCAAGTGAATAAGCAGATAAGCTGTCTGTTATGGACCTGCTGATCACTTCTTGAGACTCTAGTTCTCTCATTCCTTCAGGTCAGGACTAACCACGGCTCTGGAGGTGACCTTGCCATTGTGCTAAAAATCTCAACAGCTCTAATGTGCACCAGAAATGACTGGCTTATAATCCTTGTAGGAAAGGGTCCAGACTACTACTTTTGTGTATTTTTTCACAACACTTATATTGTAGAGTAATATTAGTATACTAAAAATTATACAGAAGACTGTCCAGACTACAGGTTTGGATGTAGATGCTTGATACTGGAGCAGAGGAGAGAGAATAGGAATGCGCTGCGACGCATTCGCACTGCGCTCTCCTACTTCCTGTCGTGCTTATGAAATGTGACCGAGGAGCACAAAGCAGGGGGCAAACTGGGGGATGGGTGCAGCAGAGCAAAGCAAAAATTACACAAGACTTAAATTTTATGGTTTAATTTGATTTTAAGAGAAATGTATGGTATTTTAATTAAATAATCTGTAGAATAAACCTCTCATTTTGAATGTGAGTCTAAAATTTTGCAATGACACCAAGTGAAAATATAAAGAAATCATTATTAAAATTCACATTTGACATCCCATAAGACCTGTCTGTTAAGAAAAATTCATATGCCTTGCTTTTGTTTGTTCTTTACGCAAAGTGTTTAGAAAATTTGCCTACAATGAAGAAAAAAATAAAAAATATTCTTTGACATTTTTTGAAGTGATACTTGGAATTTTGAGATTTATTCTGATGTATATCTGCATCTCTTCTCAAGAGGATAGAAAGTCTACCTCCTTTAGTGTTAGATCTATTCACCCAAGCCCTTTTGTATAAACTTAGAGAATACACTTTTCGTCCACCTAACTTTTAATTCACGAGGCTCTGAGACAAGAATCTATTTTCCATCACTGATTGCAGAAAGACACTTCTTACTGTCACCTCTATGACACTCGTCCTGAGGCTGTCTGCTACAATTCACGCTAATTACGAGTAGGTCACACACGAACATTCACAAGAGTAATGTGTAAAAATTCCTATTTATAACCAACAACATCAAAGCAACATTGGTGTTAAAGCCAAAGTACAACATCATAATAGTACCATTTTAACCCCTCACTAGAAAGATACAATGGAAAAGTACCCCCTTCTGAATAATTCTTGTCCATTCCCACTAAGGCCTCAGGAACGTGCGCCCGTTAGAAAAGGCCAGTTCACAAGACCAATGGAGTCCCTCAGACGGCGGATTTCTGGTCACAGGGTGGTCCTGGTTGATCACTGTCTCTGACGCGTCACAGAGGAGACTGATGGGGAGTCATCTGCTTGACGTGTTTCCTTGACGTTACCTTCTTTGAGAGGCTTGTGTCCTAGTTACCAGGTGTAGGTTTCCCCCCGTGAACATAAAGGGAAGAGAAGTCAGACCCGCGGGACGGGCATGTCTAGGTGGGACAGCTCATCGAGTGGCCGTCAGTCCTCGATCTTCACAGGCAACTTCTCTGAGGGCCCGTGGGCCCCTGGCTGGGACGAGATCCACACCGCACTCTCCTCCCCTCGGATCACCTTCTCCCACTGGCTGAGGTTATTCCTAAGGATAAAAGATGCAGGGACAAGGGTGTTTAAAAAGGATTTCTGGGCTCAGTCTCAAACATTAAGCACCCCCCTCCCCCCGAGGTATAGCCGAGCACGATGGCCTTCCGGTGCCCTTCTGAGGCGGACAATGACCAGCCTGCCGTGGCTGGGCAGGGTCCCAGCACGTCTCCCTGACGTGGTCCTGCCCCACATTCTGTAGCAGAGCCTGTGGCCAGCGAGGCTGGGGAGGTGGGCCACTTTGTCCCAGGAGCTCCAAACGACAGGGGCAACAGGAGAGCTTAGCTGAGGACACACCATCTCATAATCAGTGAAAAAGGACGACCTGGAAAGGGGCACAAGCCACAGGGTGTACTAGCCAGGAGCATGGAGGTAAATGGGGGGGAAGGGAGGCCTGGGCACCGACAGCCAGGAGCTCCCACTCTGCGGGCAGAGACAGTGTGCCACTTGGGGTCCCTGCCACCTCATACTGGAAACTGGAGAGTAGCCTTATTTTGAACACTGCGTCAGATATAAAAAGTCACTGTAAGTTACATGTAGTACCAATGTTAGAAATTTCTTTGTTGCAGTAAAGCCATCTTTGCGTTCTGGCAACTTGTGGTCTCAGATGCAGGCTGCTCGTCCCCCTCTCCATGGGTCTTTCTCTTTCCCAATCTGCTGTTCAAATGCTGTGGGAATCCTAATCTCCTTGAACAGTGTGACCACCACCACCTCGCCCCACATGGCTGACCGGGCAGAGATCTTATCAACACTTCTCACCTTGCACCTTGCTTTCTTATATACAAAGCCAAAATCAGAAGGGAACCTTGCAGTAGCAAACACAAAAGTCATACAAAGCACACACAATGCAAAGACACCTCTGGACAAAAGAAATCTCTAAAATATAACCTGAAAAATGGAATACTTTTAGCTTTTGTGCCATATTACCACATATTATTTGCCCAGAACTTAAAGAGATTTTTGATATACTGGAAAGAAGACCTACACTAATTTTGCCACGTTTCCTTGGACACCAATGATACATGAATTTTTTTTAAGTGTTAATAAGATTAAAATGGCCTTTAAGAGATTATATGGTTCAGCCAAGTCAATGAAGCAAGAATGCATCAAAGCTGCTGAGACAGAGGAATCCCTATCCTCATGCTCGATAATGACAGCAAGCACTTATTCTGCTGGTTCTGGATATTTAACAGAAAATACAGATAATTTTTGGATAGGAAAGGACTTTTTACTGTTACCTAGGATTTTCTTTTTTTTTTTTTAATAACATGGATTTTGATTGATATTGCCATTTCTCTTTGGTGGGGCACTGACTTTTCCAACCCGATTCCATCAGGAATGAGTCCCAGCTCATACTCCATATTATCCACATGGCTTAGCCCTTATGTAATAAGATAATATTTTATTGAACTAACTGCTGATTAAGGTCAGTGATGGCTCAACAAAATCAGCTGGGATGCTATGTTCACCTCCCCAAGAGCAGAGAAGAGAAACCATCACTTACATAGGAAAAAACATCTCCCTCCTCGTTGGTTTTCTTTGTTTGTTTTCCTCGCAATAATTCGTTCGTGAAATGAGTTTCAACAGCGGAGGGCGGGAGTATACCAAAGGCTTTGGTTTTGTTTAAAATCCTGCCTCTGTCCTCTGTCCGCCACTGTGCCCACCCAACCCCCAAGGTGCTCCATGGCTAAACAGTTGGAAAAATCAGCGGGACACCAGTTCTCCTGCAGAAAATCAATACACAGGGCTGCTCTGCTCAGTGCCCTTTGACCTCCCCAGACGGAACTTCTTTTTAAAGTAACATGAAAATCCTAAAAAAATTCCAATGTTCTTAGCTAAGCGCATCCCTCAAAAGCAATGAGAAAAGGATGCAGGGGATTTAGAAGCTGGGACGGATGACAAAGGGCTCATATTTCTTTTGGGAAGAAACTAAAACTCACAGAGAAAGAAGATCCCAGTCAAGGCTCCCCCTCCTCATTTACACAATAAACTGTGGGATTAAGCTAAGCCCCGTTCCAACAAGCAGTCCGGATCACACATTATGGTTCTGTCTTTTTAAAAACGCATTGGGCCCCCCACTACTCCAGCAACCCTCAGTTTGTTTCCTGAGATTAAGAATTCCTCATATCAGTGAGGTCATATCTGGGCGATAGACCTCGGGGAGGGTATGTGCTATGGTGAGCACTGTGAATTGTACAAGCCTGATGAATCACGGATCTGTAC